ATATGGGGGCCGCCTGCACTCCCTCCTGCTTCACCCATCCACGCTGCCCCCGTCCTCGACCCTCTCGTTCGCGTCGCCCACGTGATTCGCACGCGTCGTTCGCCTGTGCGTCTCCCACCTCCTGCGCGCCGCTCACCTGCGTCTGCACGTCGCCCACCTGCACGCTGCCCGCATCCGCTCTCCTTCGCCTCCGCGCCGTCCGCCTCTGCCTCGCACACCTCTGTGCTACCCTCCATCTGTATTGCCTACCTTCACGTCACCCACCTTCGCGTCACCCACCATCTTGTCCGCCTCATTCCGGCCCTCTGCGTCCTCTCGCGAGCCCTGGGTCCCCCGCGTTTATGTTGCCCACATACCCTCCTCCTCTTGGTCCTCCATCTCGTGTCGCCCACCTCTGCCTCCGTATCGCCCTCCTCCACCACGTTGCGTCCCTGGGCATCGCACTCTGCCTCCTCCGCCTCATCACGGCCCTCCGGAGTATGTGTCGCCCTCTACCTTGCCCTCCTCTGCTCTGGCGCGGGTCCTGCTCTGCGCGCACGTCCGACTCGCGCGGGCTCGGCACGGCGTCCTCTCCTCACCCTCTGCCTCCACCTCGCTCTCCTTCGTCTTGCCCTCCACTGCTCTTGCGCGCGTTCCGCTCATTTGCGTGAGCACGTGCCACCCGCGGGCGGCGCGGGCGGAGCACCGCGTCCCACTGCCCCGCTGCCCTATCCTGGCCCTCTGTCTCGCCCCCTCCAAGTCGCCCTCCTCCAGTCTTGCACGCCATTTGGCAAGCACATTGTGCTCTACCTCCTGTGGTCAGCTGCCTTGCCTCCTATTTTGTCTCGGCCCTCCGCTTCCACCTGCTCCGCTGTCGCCACTACGTAGTAGTGTTCGCTTGTCGATCGCCCCTCGTCTCATTCCTTCTACTGTTACCACTAATAAATGTATTTTCGTTGCCAATCCTACGCTTGCATCGCGCAGGAACATCAGAGAGTTCGCATAAATCCCTTTCTCTGGGCGCCCAGCGACCGAGCTGGAAATATTCTGGAAGAGCCGGTCTTCCGTCTTGGGAGGAGGCGCCCAAGACCGGCTCTTCCAGCGGCTCAGCCATCAGTCCATTCTGGCTGCTGGCGTCAAGTAGGCTCGATCATCCAGCCGTTCTCGTTGTGACCTCCTCTAACGGCTGGTCAGACTCGTAGGGGAGCCTCGCAGGAGACCCATAAAAGGCAATCACGTGATGTGCATGCCCTCCTCTCGCTTCACTCCCCCGCCCAAACGGGCTTGTTGGGGCACGCCGCCCTCCCCAAGCCCCACGCGCGAGCTCGCGCGCGATCCCAGGGTGTGCGCGAGTGCGTGGCTAGTCGCACGGAGTGTCGCGCGGAGTGTCGCGCCGCTCCTGCAGACCCAATGCTCGCCTCGCTCTCCTGGGCGATGTTCGTCCTGATTCCGACACAACCTCACAAGCGTCCTCTGGTGTGCACAAGTATGGCCTTGAGATATACCACCCATTCTGTCAGTGACGGTTCTCGTCCAATGTACATGCAGCACCGGCTACTATCCCAGCTTCACCGTCTTCCTTTTCCCTCATCAACTCGGATGTCTATGTACAAATATTCCTCATAAATCGACACACTACGATCTCCTATGCTGCGTTTTGAGCCGTCACGTACTGCAGCGCGACGAGTCGGGCGTCCATGTTCCATCCCTGGCGGTGGGCCGCCAGGGAACTCTGCTCCCCGCACATCTGCCCGACGTTTACATCCTACACCCGCGCCGGGGGCGCAGTCCATGTCTGTCCGTAGAGCACCTAGATCATTTTACATCGCACCTTAACAGAATTAATACCACACTTTCAGTCATTTCAGTGTTCTATTGCCGCACTAGTACTGCAGCCTGAGGGACCCGTCAGTGAGGCGAGCATTAGGTTTGCAGGAGCGGCGCGACACTCCGCGCGACACTCCGCGCGACTAGCCACGCACTCGCGCACACCCTGGGATCGCGCGCGAGCTCGCGCGTGGGGCTTGGGGAGGGCGGCGTGCCCCAACAAGCCCGTTTGGGCGGGGGAGTGAAGCGAGAGGAGGGCATGCACATCACGTGACTGCCTTTTATGGGTCTCCTGCGAGGCTCCCCTACGAGTTTGACCAGCCGTCAGAGGAGGTCACAACGAGAACGGCTGGATGATCGAGCCTAGGCGTCAAGCTCTCCCCTCGTGGGAGGCTCGTTCTGAGCCGATTTTCCCATCCCGGCTGACAGCCAAATGACCCGGCTGGCGCAGCCAGCCGAGCCGAGCCGAGCTATCGCAACACTAACCTGACGTAGTCGTGTTTGCGCCGGTACTACCTTACTCATACGCACATCCGCGACAATTCTTGCGAACATGGCCGCTACACCAAGCGAGTGGCTGTCAGACGAGGAACTCGTCGTGCGGGGATGCTGGGGCTAGACAGCGTATGCTCTCTGTTTACACTGTCTATGCACAGCCTATCCTGCGGAACTGGCTGGTTGATAATTACCTTTCCAGACCAGGCAAGACAATAGATTTCGCCCGGGATATCCTCCGTTTACATCACTTCCAGGGATAGCTCAGGCTTCGGGTCGGAGTTCGGACTTATCCTGGGGTCGTGAGATCTCATATGCACACCTGGATAACTCCCGGCTCGGCAATCTATCCATGATCATAACCCGAGTGTGCAAGAAAGGAGTTCACGCAGTGGCAATATGTCATGCAATGTGCGCGATAGAACGCGCACATGGCTAGCATCTCCATCGTTTGTCCACATGCATGGTGTGATATGCGCGACTGCGTGTCTCATGCGTACGTATGCTTGGCGACAAGGTGTCATACAATGTCCGCGATAGATCACACACATCCGCGTACGATTTCGTTGTGTTCTAATGTCCGCGATAGATCGCGAATATTTGTACCATGACTTGTTACGTTCCAATGTCGACGATCATTCGCGCACATCGAGTACCAGCGGACCTTTCTTTGTATCTTTCCGGATGTGTGCGAGATGTTACTCAGACGTGAAGCTGTACCATTCAGGACAGGCACTTGAAAAGGAATAATAACAAGTCGATATTGAGAGATGATGAACAACGTATTACGGATATGTGGTGGATCGGTGATCGGTATTGTTTTTGCTTTCCTAGCACTTCTAATGGCGCTCTACTTGATTTAATTCTCCTGTAGTGCCTTTGTTTGGTGTGTATTCACACTTTCCCTTCACCGATCGCGAAGCCCCATGCGTGATCGGGGCTTTGCTTGCACACAGAAAAGCAGATGATACGTTCTGTCATCGTGAATTCTTTCTGCGCACATTGACGTCATGTGTTGGTGTATTTCTGTCCCTGATATAGACCAGGCTGTAGAGTCCAGTGTACGAAATCTTCAAGGTCTCAGTCCTTCGCACTGAATTTGCGTCGCCGCGACAGTACTTGCTCGCCCTCAACATCCAGCACTTCGGTACCTGCAACACGATCGGGTTCAGGGTAGTGCACGATGGCACTCATGGCCCTCGCGTGCGCTGGCTCGCGTTCGGCGCGTGGCACCGACGCCCGCCGCGGTGCCTCCACCGCGACCGTTCATGGACACGCGCGCGGGTGCGGCGGCGGAAAGGACCCGCAATTCACGGCTGTAGAGGAGACGTGGCGCGCGGACCGCGAGGTGCACGGGCGCGAGCTCGAGCGTACGAGCGGGCCTGGCGCAGATTCCACCCTCACCGCGTTGCGCCCGCGACGTGTGTGCATGCAGCTCGTCCGTCCGCACCCGCCCATCGGAGCATGATGGAAAGGGTGCCGCGACAAGCGCGGCAACGCTTGTATGAATTACATAGTATGCAACAAGAACGCCGTACGTAGCGTATCTACTCGTCGTCTTCCTCGTTGTTGTTGTTGTTGTTGTTGTTGTTGTTGTTGTTGCTGTCCTGCTCACCCTCTCCCTGCTCGCTGTCGTCCTGCTCGTTGTCCTTCTGCTTGTGTTTTCCTACCCAAAGGCGCAGCGAGACGAGACTGGAAGCGTGCGCCTTGGCTTTGCTGGATGCGACGCTGAGCGCTGCGCTGAACACACCCGCCGCTTCCTCGAGTCGGGTTAAAGCGGCGGCCTTCTCAACGGAGGTGGCCTCGACGATGTTGAGGATGTCGTACAACTCTGGCCACGGGAGGTCGTCGCCGGCGGGGTGAGCGTGACGGAGGGCGTCGAGGATCTCCTCGTTAGTCCCAGGCTCGTCGTCGTCGAGGGCGTCGGCCAAGATCGCGGCGGCCTTCCCGGACGTCCTGGCGACTTTCCGCCTCGGCAGAGCATCACCGCTGGAGTCGTGTTTGCGCTTCCGGGGCGCCGAGGGACCGGGGACGGGGACGGGGACGGGCGCGGGGACGGGCGCGGTGGCGGCGGCAGCGGCGGATGGGCGCGTGAGGGAGGGACCAGGGAGGGGGGCGGCGGTGTGCGAGGACTTCCGCGCACGGGACGGAGCAGAGGCCTCGTCGGCAGGTGGAGCGAGGACGGTGATGCCGATACGGATCTTGCGCCACGACTTGACGACGTCGCGGGTGCGCCAGCCGTGCCCGAGCCCTCATCAGACCCGTTCGTCCAGTACGTCTTCACGCCGGCGAAGACGAGTTTCCTCTTCTTGTCAAAGAGGACCTTGGCGGCCCAGTCGCGGGCCTGCTGCCGATCCCACTTGGCGTACGCCGGGTAGGCTTCGCCCTCGCGGAAAGGAGGGGCGGCGTCGGGGGCGAGGCTCGGGTTGGCTTCGTAGTCCGCCTTGGCGAGCCAGACGAGAACGTACTCGATCGCGGCCTGAGCGACGATCTGCACGTTCACCGGCAGGTCTTCGAGGACGAAGATGGTGCGGCCTGTGAATCAGCCGACGAAGCCGGCCTTGGGCACTGTGCGCCGCGATGTGCTCAGCGAGGGAGAGGGGGAGGTGGAAATGCAGGAGATTGAAATGACGACTCACCGATGAAAGCGCCATCGGCGCGGATTCCGTAAAGCGTGCACGGATCGGTGCCCTTTCTGCACCTCTTGCAGGGTCCGATACCGTTTCCCGGGCACTTGTGTTTCCCGGACTGGCATTTGTCGCACTGTAAAGGGTCAGCGATGAGATGGGGGGGCGGGAGTGGTGTGGACTTACCCGGGACTGCAGCACCCAGCGGACAGGGCCGCAGGGGGGCGCGGGGTTAGCGTTGAGCGTCTTCTTGAGGCCCTGGG